GAAGGAAGGCAGGAAAGGAAGAGAGCACGTGAAGCTATGGTTCGGTCGGAGTACGCTGAGTCGGATGATTCGCCTTCCAGTCCTTTTCCAGAGCGCTATACTGATTATCGTGAGTGCAAGACGTCCTTTAGTTTCCATTTCTGCTCACCCCTTCTTAGCTAGTTCCTCACCCTCTCCGACACCGAATTCCGTACTAGTGGCCCCATCGCATTCCAGGGCACGCGCTATTTCGGCGCCTGGAGCTCCGCCCAGACTGCAGACAGAGCTTCCCCTACGCCCTCACTCACGAGCGCCATCCCCGGCTCCTTCTTTCGGGGCCATGCCGTCGTTTTCTCTGGTCGGTGCTCTGGAGTTCCGTCAGGTTGTCGCAGCATTACAGCACGAAGCAGCAGGATCCTCTCTCAATGTCTTTGAAAGTCCCTTTACCCCATATGCAGGAGGCCACTATAATTCTCTGCGGTCAAGGTCACGAACTCTTAGCCGCGATCTTAGCCGCGAGATAGATCCCTGGGATGCTGCCCTTGGACTACCTCTCGACGAGCGTTCGCGTCCACGGGTGGTGCTAACACCTGCCCTCACCGAAGAGCCTGAAGATACCATGGATGGAAGCACAACCCAAGGCAGAACTCATTCCCGGGGAAGCTCTGTTCCCTCCATTTCACGAACACCTGCCTCTCCAACTGCTTCGGACGCGGACACCGAATCCCAAAATTTACAACCTCCCACACGACGACAACGGCTATTGCATGTCGTTTCAAATGTCTATCACACACTTTTCCCGTCCCTCCACCGCTTTCAAAGTAAAAGTGTCCTTGGGCAAATTGCTTCCGTATTCGCTACTCCAGCCGTCATGCTCCTTACGCTTACATTGCCGGTTGTTGTTACTCCGTATCAGTCTACCCACCATTCACGCGAGAAGACGCCAGGCCAGGAAGCCAATCTCATCGATTTCGAGGAAGAAGGGATCGAACGCGTGCTTGTTGCAGAAGAGGAGGTGGACCAGGAGCTGCACGGAATGACGTACAACAAATGGCTAACAGCTGCCCAGTGTACTTTCGGCCCCTTGTTCTGTGCTGCAGTATTGTTCGGTATGTATGAATGTTCTCGTTTCTCCCTGGCCTTACCCAGTCACGTTCCAGGTGGGAACAAGTATCAGCTGTGGGCGCTGCTCTCTGCGGGAATCGTTGGCATTGCTGCCTCTGTTCTCGTCGCTCTATTTGCAAATAACGGAGAACACCTCTCATTTCGCATGACTCGTTGTTCGATCGGCTTTTTCGTCGCTGTCGTTTGGATCATGGCTATCGCAGATGAAGTAGTTAAAGTGCTGCAGGTATGCTCCAAACTTCATTTTTGTATGTCTATGACTCAATGGCACGGTAGACCTTTGGATTTATCTTTGGGCTCTCCGATGCAATTATCGGTTTAACTATTTTTGCAGTGGGCAACTCCCTTGCTGATCTCGTGGCAAACATGAGCGTAGCAGTAAGTACCGATCTTCGTGAGGTGGAAATGTATTCATGACACCCGCAGGTGTTTGCTCCAATAATGGGCTTTTCTGCGTGCTTTGGAGGACCAATGCTGAATATCCTACTCGGTGTGGGGATCTCAGGAACTTATATCATACAGCAGACTTCAGAGCCTTTTAAGCTCCATTTCGGCAATACACTGCTGGTCAGTACCGTCGGGCTCCTTATCCTCCTGGCAGCCACCCTTATCGTGGTTCCACTGAACGGATACTTCTTGACACGGACTTGGGGAGTAACCCTTATTGTCTCGTACACGATAATAATGGCGATCAACGTGGTTGTCGAGATCAAAAGTTGACAAGTACTAACATATGTATGACGGACTGTAGCAGTAATACGAATGGTACATGGATAATCACATTGTCAAGCAAGCCGTGGAATGAGGTCGAACTCGGTGGAAGTACAAGGTCTTGATAAATAAGCCACAACAACGCTTGCCACTATTGCTTACTTCCATGTCTGACGAAGTCGCAGCTCCCGAAATCCAGATAAACGTCAAAGGTGGCCTCTCTTTCAACAGCTATCATGTCCTCTCCTAATCCACCCCAGGTCCGAGTGAATTGAAGCTCCAGATCACGATTACGACCGATAAAACTGTTCTTGAACTCAAGCAGGCTATCGCGGAGAAATCAGATGTGGAGGCTGAAAGGCAACGCCTTATATACTCAGGTGAGGCCAAGCTACACCTCTCATGGTATTTAGAAATTAATGCGTTGCTCCAGGGCGAGTACTGAAGGTAATTGCGAATCGAGAAATTACTCTACGTCGACGCTTACGAATGTTTCAAGGACGAGGATTTGCTGTCAGTTTACAAGATCCAGTCGTCTCACACAATCCATATGGTCAAGGGTGCTGTTCGTTCCGGTGCTGCATCGACGTCATCGCAGCCCGCGGCGCCTCAGCAATTGCCAACAATGCAGACCGGGCAAAACCCCCACGACCCATTGACCCTGCTCAACAGCCACGCAGGGTTTGGTGCTATGGCGGGTTTGAATCCCTTTGCAGACATGGGGCTAAACCCCAACGATCCCAACATGGTGCGCATCACATCACGTTCAGCCGACAACGACACGCAAACCGACGTCTCTTCCTAGCTGCAAGGGATGATGAACAACCCCCAGTTCCTGCAGCAAATGTCGGCGATGATGTCGAACCCTGCGATTATGGAACAGATAATTTCATCTAACCCACAGATGGCGGGAATGGGACAGGAGGCTCGTAACATGATGCAGAGCGAACATTTCAGGCAGATGGTGTACGTGCTTACGCAGACCTTTCATTCAACAACTTGATTACCTTCCCAGATCGAGCCCAGAGAACTTACAACGAATGCTTCAAATGGCGTCCATGTTTAATGGAACGGGTGGCGGCGGTGCCAACGCGTTCCCTGCCCCTGGTATCCCGGGCTCCACACCCTCTACCAGCACTCCTGCGGCGGCTCCCGCAGCCCCCGCCTTCCCCAATTTATTCGGAGGCGGTGCTGGCGCAGCCCGTCCCCCACCTTTCGACCCCGCGTTACTTGCTCAGCTTATGGGCGGAGCACCACCTACGCCCCCTGCAGCAGGGGCTGGCGCCGGTGGAGGAGCACCCAACCAAATGGACCCAGCCGCGCTGTATCAACTTCTTGGTGGATTCGGTGCAGGAGGAGCTGCAGCGGCTCCACCGCCGGCTGACACCCGGTCACCTGAGGAGAGATTCCAGGTCCAACTGCAGGTGTGTCTTTTTCCTTCTGGTCTAGTCACAAATACTCATGGAGATACTTCTACAGCAATTGCAGGACATGGGGTTCACCAATGCATCCCAGAACGTGCGGGCCCTTCTTGCGACGGGCGGGAACGTGCATTCCGCCATTGAATACATCCTCGGCGGTGGTGGAATTTGAGGTGCGTAGAATTCAATTACCTTTCAAGTTTAATCTCACAGCAAGTTTAGCCGATTCTCGGATGCGAATCAAGTAATGTAGACTATCTTGGGTAGTATCCGATGTATTATTCCTGTTATCGGCGAGAACCTCGCTCTTGTAAGTAGAGTGCAACGAAATGACCTCCCATTCGTGGGTGCACTGTTTAATTTTATTCTCTATTGCAGAATCACGGTGCGAGCGAGGTGCTCACCTAAACACGATATGCAACCCCATGTGCCGCCCGTCGCTCTCCTCCAACATTTGGGACATTCGCAAAACACCGTTGTACCCACACATTTCGCTGCCCGGTTTACCCCCGCTCAATTCCCTCCCTTCGCTTCACATGCAGCTGCATGGGCTGCACTCACTGCTGTGACGCTCCCTCAAGCTCCCTGGACGAGCCCTCGCCCAGCCAGTTGACGTGTCGACGCCCAACATGTCTGGTTCGAACAGGCTAAATCACACTGTTCTGCCTGTTCGAACCAGACAGGTTGAGCTTTAGCGAAACCTGTCTGGTACCAATTTAGAAAATCATCAAGGCCCATTCACTTGCTAGCTTTTAATGGCCTAGCATCTCGGGACCGTGGTGACGGTCGTTCTTCCTCATATAAAGTCGATGGATTCTGAACTCCTCCACTAAAGACCTTTCCCTTCGGATATCTGGCCAAGTTTCCTTCTATGGTCCTTCATCCATTCTTGCCCGGGTCGGCTTTGCTTCAATTTCACAGGTCAGCTCTGGTGCTCACCTTTTTACACGGCTCAGATGTGCTCAGAATCATGTTTCCCGGCCCCACCGTTCCTCCCTCTCTCTTCTGCCCTTGAACTCGGGGTCATCGCGTTGAAGCTCTTGTATTATAAGTAGACGCGAGCAAGCTTTGGGTCCAACTTGAGACGGCGTTGGCGATCGGATGCTCAGTAGTACACTTTACCGGGCGTTTTTATACGCAGCTACGCCGTTGTAATGAGCGAAAGACTTTACGGGCCGTGTCGCGGGTCACAACAAAGACAAACAACGCCCGGTTCTATATTAGGCAATTATGTGTCTCCGCAATTTATTCACCGTAACGGCAAGGGCGACGTGGAGGAGTCCACGGAGCATCCAGAAATGTATTAGATCCAGGTACGGGTCGTTTCAGCCTGCTCTGGCCGACGGACTCATAGTTTCTATTCAAGGCGATGCAAATGGGTGTAAACACCCTCAGAAGAACCGGGAAACGCAGTGCGCATGAAATATTTCACCACGGACGTATCAGCGCTTGGTATTATCTATCCAGAAGCAATAAATCAATCAAATGAGGCGTGAATTGATTACAGGATGGAGATCTTGTAAGAAGAGTTCTGTTTTAATTGGGTTCATATATATATCCCGACCATGTGGGATTCGAATATTCTGCGCTTTTGGAAGCCAATGGACAGACATGTGAGGGATTTAATGGCTGAACAAGTTGGATTTTTTAGACAAATGCGACACCATAATTTCAAATAAATCGTGAAAAAATATCGGCTGATCGCCAGCGATTCTGGACAATCTCAGGGACCTCTGAGGACCTCCCCAAACGCAGCAAAAACAATCCGACTTGCCTGGTTCGAACAGGCGACACCCAGATATTACGTAAGGTAACCATTACAGTCTGATGCTCTGCCAACTGAGCTAAAGTCGGATGATGGTTGTCCGGATTGGAAGTGCTAGTACAACCTCCCCGTTCCTCCATCCGTGCACTATCCAAACCCTCGAGGCGTACAACATCGCGTATTACATAGGCAGTCATTGCAAACAGCCATGTTAAGCCAGTCGCCATTTAATAATACTATCCTTCCCGGTTATTCCAGACATTTGACGAAGATCGATGAATATCTTTGTATCGACATATTTCTAGCACAGTCCGAGTACACCATCCGATGCGGATCCTTTCCTTAATGCGGGTTAGCATTTTGGTTTGTGTGAAATGGCCCATTCGTCGATGAACGGCATAATTCTTTCAAGTGTCCGAGTTATAGGTAACACATCAAATGCTGATTGCCGACCCCACACCAGAGTCCCGGCACATCGGAAATTTCGGAAGACCTCCAAACTTGACATGCAAGTTCGAATGCATCATATGGACTGCTTGCATGCACCAATGTTCAAGGAAATATCTGGAAGGGTCTCTTTAAAGGTATTTTTCCACAAGTGCAGGAGCCATTCAATTGAACACTTTTAGCATGAAAATCTTTGATTTTCGGTTCATTCCGAGAGCACCAGACCATTTACATGCACAAAATTCTGTATGAGCATACCTTTTGTGTAGAACCGTGGTTTGAAAGCCTCCTTCGATGTTTCTGTTCGCCCATTTATCTTTGGAATGCATAAAACAGGTGAAAACCGTCAATTTCCTATCACCTGCCAACTTCTTGGGTAATAAATGGGGGAATGGGGCCCGTAATCAGTGAAATCTGTTGTCCTAGACTTCAGAACACATCCTGGAGAGTCCATAGAAACAAAGATCTCGAAAAACGGTCCAGAAATGATTGAGTAAAACGCAAGTGTCCGAGTGGTAGGTTTGTCCGGCCCAGCGGGCAGGGATAGTAATATTCACCAACCGCGACCGTCTTTTTTTCCCCCGGCACTTACGAAAACGGTAAAGGAAAACCAACGATTGCCTACAGCTCTTTGCATAAGGAACAGAGGGCGCGACTTTCAAATAAGCCCATTGCCCTTCTCATCTTTTAAGCCACTGTAAAATGATCGCTCGTCAGGCCCAAATGCCGCCCTCAAGGAGCTATGGGGACGTGGAATGCCAGCGTATGACGTCGGGGGTTCCCGCTACACCGCTGGATATGTCTTAGCATCCTCGACGCATTATGCTCCCGCCTCAATCAATAAAAGGGCTGCTTTCTTGTAGGCGGCAGCGGTGACCCCCAAGCCCTGTCGCATTCCACTTTATTCGTTATACAACACATTCACTTGAGCCCATACAGCATACACTCCACACGACTTCCCTATTTAACCGACTTCAGGAGGAACGGGAAATAATAAAACTCGGGACTGAAAGGACAGTATGCACATAAAACTTGTTAGTAGCCCCCCCATTCCATTCCATTACAACAACCTCCGAGAAATCAGAGCCCAATCCAGCTGCTGCGGCCCCCGGGATTATGCAGACTTGTATGTCCAATTTTAACAACCCGCGAGCCCGCCTCAACGGGCTCTCTCATGGACGACCGCCGATCGAACATGAACCCGTCATTTGCGTCGATCAGCGGGCTCGGCGTGTTCCTCGACGGCGAGGCGAAGAAGGACCCGCCGTTGGAGAAGCTCGCGGACAGCGGGGAGGCCATCGGCGCCTCGTTCTCCGCTGCGGACGCGCTGACGAGGTTCATGAACGCCTCTGCGTGCCATTCGTACCACACCTGCCGCTGGTTCGTCAGACGCCAGATAGACACTTGGAGTTCAGAGTTGCTCGGGAGGTAAAGCGGCTCCTGGAAAAGGACAGCCCGGTCGGCAACGTCATATCAGGGATGTAAACATCCCCACGAACCTTAAACGGAAAAAAGAGCGGAAACCAGCTGAGCATGTCCTTCGAAATTCTGTCCTTCCGATGAGGATGAATGCTCAGTCCAATGTTGCCATACAGGACCGCTTCGAAATATCCAGCCAAGCCACTGAGAATGACGTGAGAACCCACACGCGCCTCGCGGAAGGTACTTACTGCAGCACTCCAGCATGCGGAATGAAGAAATCCAACTTTGCCGAACGTGCGTTATGGCTATTAGTAAGTGGGAGTCCTAACCAACCGCTTAGCCTGCCGCTAGGATACTAGCAAAAAAATGGAAGGTCGTGCTTACCCCGCTCGTTCAACACCGCATCTCTCCTTGGATGCTCAAACTCCCAGCATTCCTGGATCTGCGGGCCACAGCGGCCGTTCGTGCCCCCGCCATCGCCGCTAAGCAGGTTGACCGCCTGGAACATGACGACATACGGCGTCTCGACGCTCTTCTCGTCCTTGCCCGCCCTGGCTTCGTTGTACAGCTTCGAAGACGACAGGGGAGCGAGATGCGCGGTATAAGACGACGGGATGGATATCCCATCCGCTGCTCCGGAAATGAGACGCGAAACGCACTAATCTCATATGCTTACGTTTCAAGAACCGCATCGCGCCGTCGAGACACTCTGGACTCAACTCATTGTCCCCGAAGGACCCGAGCAGCTCGCTGATAAGGATATCCGCCTGTTCTGGGACGTCGATGAAGCGCATGTCCCCGAACAGCAGGGTGACTTTAGACTCCCATTCGGCCTCCTTCCGGCTCTGCAGCCTGGATTTGATTCAGTTATTGGGAAGGTGTACTGAAGCACTAGACGTACGTGACATATGCGTTTGGGTTCTTCTCGACCGCATAAACGAGGGCGTCTCGGCCAGAGCGCTCGACCGCAGTGAGGCATCGCGCGACAATGGGACCCCGGCCGGCACCGGCCACACAAAGGATGCTGAGCGGGATCAGCGAGTTATTAGAAGGAGGAGTGAAGACGCCTACATTTTTTCGTCACCGGGCCAGTCCACCAGTGCTTGGAATATTGCCTGACCACACTTCAATCAATTTCAGGCCACCAAACCGGAGAACGAAGCGACCTCCTCGTAATTGTGATACTTCACCGGGTCTTGTTCAAAGGTCTGATACGTCACGCTTTGCAGATTGTCCATCAGCGGCTGTAGTCCACGTTCAATTGAGAGGCACCAAATCATCAAGGAACGAACGAACGACTGACCTGCAGTGGTGCCTGGAGATAGTCCTGATAGCCTTGTGCGAAATTCTCGACCGTGCCGGACGTCTGCGCCGCCTGAACGGCGGGGCTGGTCTTCTCGAGATGCCGCAGATATTGTGAGTACGCCAGTTCACCGCCGAGGCTGTGGAGCCCTAGGTTCGCGCCAGATAAAATAACGATGGGCCGGTGCTAAGTCCTGATGTCGTCAGTCCCTCCCCGAGCCTTACAAAACAGCACAAATGCTTGCCGTCATGCTTTCGCGAATGAAAGACTGCGTGGCCTTTGGTAGGACTGGGTACCCCTTTGTATTCGCGATGAAAGTCGACGTCGGGAGGAATAGATGTCGGATCGGCTCTGCTTTCCATTTTGAGAGGAAGCCCGACTTGGCGGGGATGGGCGGGGTGAGGTCCAACGCTACGCCCAGATCGATTAGCACAATGGAAATGGAGGTTGAAGGAAGGCGGGACGCACTTAAACTCAGGCGCGTGCTGTAATCGCATATAGTGCGTATGACATCCCACATCTCCCAAGTACCGTCGAGATTCCCCGATTGCGTCTCTGTACCCCCCACATCCGATACAACGAGGCGGGGCGTTGTGGGTACTGGGGACGACGGCCGTAAGGCCGCGGACGACGGGGAACCTGGCATCGGGGAGAGGTGGGCCTCCAGCACCGATGGATTGTAGATGGGCAGCCGGATGGAGATGTGCATATACGGCGAGTTTTTCAAGCACGCGTTAACGGTGCGCGCATAAGAGGAGACGTGGTCGCGGCTCCGCGGCGGGGGCAGGATCGCCGTTTGGATGTTCAGATACGACGCATAGGCGAGCTCTTGCTGGAGGGCCTGCGGTACAATTCTAGTTAGCGGCTGAATGAAGGAGTAGAAGCAAGCGATTTACAATCTCAGCATCATGGCGCACCCAGTCGTCGGCCGCATCTAGTTCTAACCATTCGGAAATGAGCACTGTGACGCCCTCGGCCTCGTCTAGCAGGAATCCATCAGCAATCCTTCCGGGCTCCAGTGCGTGCACTTATATGATACCTAGTTGAGTTACAGTGACCTCGTCGAGTAAAAAGGCCGGTTTCGCTCTCCATGCCTCCGCAAGCCTTTCGGCCGCCATATCCGCGTCCAAATCGGTCCCCGTAGGAAGGAGACACATTTCTGTCCACCGCTTCTTCCATTTGTCGGTGGTCAAGGGCAGGCAGACGAGATCGTAGCCCTTGGCGCGGGCTTGGGTTGACAGGGCCAGCACGGGGGTGGGGGCATCCGGCGTGGGGGGTTCATTGGCGGCCTTGGAGATGTCGGCGTGGGTGAGGAGCGTCGAGATGGATGCGGTGCTGTCCCAAGACATGGTGGTTCGGGAGAGCGCTGTCGATGCTGTAGAACAGGCCTATCGAGGCGCTAGCACGCGAAACCAAACAACGCGTATACACGGGTCAATAGCATCGCCATGGTGGGATCTATTGACTAAAAAGGGGGCTGTAACATTGCGGTCTCAATCCGCGACGCTGCCCCTGCTCGATGCCTTTCTTCTTTATTTTTTTCATCAAATCCTTTCTCAACTTCTTGATCTGCCATAATTTCGTGTTCGAGGTTGTCTCCTCCCGGATGCCGAGCCTGCCGAGCTCCGTGGGATTTCACAGGATTCGCCCCCGAATGAGGTTAAACCCCGATTAAGTACAAGGGTTACGCGATTTATTCCCAAGGTCTACGGCTTCTCTCGATTAAGATCGCAGAACAGATCTTTGATCCATTCATTGTCGGCGTCTACCCGAGACCGTCGTCCGTCTTCGGTTTCTTCGTCGGCGTCTCATTAATTTCAGCACCCCGCTCGTCCTCGACGGCCTCGGACATGGCGTAGCCGGTGACCACGCCCTCCAGCACCGTCCTGCTCACAATCTGCCGCAGCTCCTCCTCGG